AGTAAACACTTACATTTGATTTGTTTTTCATATTGAAGACAGGCTGACATTATACATCCCAAGTCCATAATAAGTACCTGTTTCTACAATCAGGCTCTTCCATGAGACCTGTCCTTCAAACTCCAAACTCCATTGATTTGGAAAATAGTATCAGAAATACTATCCAATTCTCTATGTATATCAATAGTTATAGTGCTTTTCTTTAAGCTCACAAATGTGAATTGAATTATTAGGCATGGAAGAAAAATAAGCAGCCACATACAAGCTTATGAAATCTGTTGTATTAATGCAACTTTACTTTTTGATTGGTAAGCTTTTAAAGAGAGATGTGGTTTTCCAACTCCAGGAAAAGATAAGGGTACCATAAGTGGCAGGTTAGAGGAAAAGAAAACTAACATTTATTGAGCACCTCCTATGTACCAGGTAACTTTTTGGGCATTTTCCTTATGTTTCCTCATTTAATTCTCACTGTGATCTTTTGGAACTGTGTTCTTCTCATTTTACAGATAAGGTAACTGAGACACAGTGAAGTTCAAGAACTTTCCACAGTTGTTTGGCTAATAATAGTAAGTGGAGGAGTTAGGATAGAAGACAGGCAGGCTTGTCTTATTCCAACACCCATGCATACCCTTAAATTTAAGTTATTCTGACTTCCTGTTGCTCAAAACTGATGTATTGAGCTGATTGCTTTTCTAATTGGCAAGACTTTAGAAAATATGACCTTTTTTTTTTAAAGGTAGGGGGCAGTTTTAACAGCATGGATCAACTTTTTAAAGTATTTTTACAAACTGGAAACATTTGTATTTAGAGATGGAACTGAAATTTCCTTGGCAAAGTGGAGCAGATTAAGTTATCATATTAACAAAGTACACAGCCAAAAATGTGTTTTAAATAAAGTTTTATTGACTAAAATTTCAGTGGGCAGGTATGTTTATGTTTAGGACACTTGGCACCGACAATATCATAAGTCAAATTCTTTGATATGTGTTTAGCATTTTGTCTATGATTTTGTTAATCTAAAGGGCTTCTAAGCTGAGACTAATTTCCTCAAAGGGGAAAAAAAATCCAAATGTAAACTGAGACTTTAATCTTGGGATTGAGAAAAGTAGCTCTGAAGGAGCATCAGATTTTAGCAGCAGAAGTTGCAACACAGGCATAGAATCCAGTTGCTCCAGGTCTCTTGGTTAATAATCATGATTCAAACTCAAGTTCAGCTCAACGTGTAAGCCCATGTTTTCCCTACCATATTCTGCTTTGTCTGAACATAACTTTGTTCAAATTTAGAAAAAGACCTAATTCTAAAATACCTATTTGAGGGGTGAGCCTAGATGGTTTAACACAGCAAAGAGACATCCAGTTTCCTGTGGGGAGTTTGATGGAAGAAGAAGAGTTATGTATCAATGTGGGAAAAATGAACAAAGTATCTTTGTTTTGGTTGTTTCTTGAGCTCTTCCTTTCCTTGGGTGATAGACTTGGTTAATGACCACGCATCTCTTGCTGATGAGGATCTCTGGGTGCTCTTTTATGCTCATTAAATGATTCTCATGGCTCAGGAGATAGTTGAAACTTAATAAATAGCTCAATTATTGAAGTCCCATGAGCTCTGTATTCATTTCTAGAAGGGATGAGACACCGTTTGTATTTATATGCAGCTTTACAGTTTAGTTACACTTTGTGTCCCATTCTGTTCTATTTTAAAGCAGGATATTTCCAAAGAGGAGAACTAGTCTCACCTTTTGTTCCTACTTGAGCCCATTTAGTCCTTCTACTCACTACACAATGGCCAAAAGTCACCTTTATAGAAGGAAGACAAGACGGATATGCTGTCCCTCTGGTCACTTTGTCCGTCCCCACCTCTGGCAGAGAGTGTCCTGGGCTAACATGCCGAAGGTTGCACTGTGAGAGACACACAGCATCTGCAAAGGGCTTCTTGCCTTGTGAATGCTCCATTCTATGAGAGAAAATGTGAGCTTCAGTGTTAAATGGAACTCAATAGCTCAGCCTCCAATGATGCCATCAGGATGAAGCTTGGACCACGAGAGGAGGGAGATATGGGGAGGTGGAAATGAGAGAAGCAGGTGCCTGGGTAAATGGAGATCAGCAAACACACAGAGGCTACCCTGGGGGGAAGGGAAGGAGTCTGCACATCCTCAGGACTCTGAGTATGGCAGTGGCGCTGCAAATATGATCGGGTCTTAAAGATAATGGACGGAACCATCATGCCAGGTTGGGTCCACACGAGGATGTGTCTTTGCTGGACGTGCCAACGTCACTGAAACAGAGACTGGGGGTTTCTTCAAGACCTAGGTCTTTATTACATTTCTGTCCTGACCTTTTTGTTCTTGACCCTTCCTAGGTTGTGTTCCACATGCTAAACAGTTTTAGGAACCCAATGGGCTGTGTTCTCTGACGTCTCATTGCCTTGAACTTGCTTTTCCCTCCACCAGCAAAGCAAAGTCTCATTGCTCTTTCTTCTTCTCATCACCAATGTAGGTCACGATTTCGAAGTTGTTTCTTGAGAAAACTGTCATTTGTCAAAACTGCATCAGAGGTCCTGTTTATTTGCTTTCAGCACTTCCCATAATCACCTGTACTGGAACACTCCTCACTGTATTTTACGTGCTTGTGCAGCTACTGTCCATATGCCACACTAGACTGCGAACTCCTTGACGCTAGGAACTAGATCTCATTCACACGGTATTCACGTCTCCTACGATTCCTGCCATCAGCAGATGGTACGGATTGAATGAATAAATGGATAATTAAGTTTCAGAAATAGTAGTGTTAAAAACAATAAAAAACTGCATTATGTAGAATAAACATTTAATTTGCTTCAGAAGATAAATAACATAATCTGTGCAATACTTTGTCCTCTCATCTTAGGCTGGTTGAAGGAAGATAAAGAAACACAACTGCTCAGAAACTGACTAATGTTTTCGGAAAGCATTTGAAAATGGGATTCCCCCTCGGTGGCGTGTTCACAGTGTGGGTGAACTCACTGCTCTATTGCATATCCTAAAATGCAGTAAAGTATTAAATCAAACTGAATTATTTATAAAGCGTGTACTTGCCCAGAGGGAGACAGATTCTTACTATTGTTAAGGTCCTTTTCTTGGTGTTCCTTATCAAAGGAAATCCTTTCTTGAAAAGACTTTTTTTTAGGAGTCAAGGGCATAAAGCCATCTTTTTATGACACATAAATTTCTTACTCCATCCTCTTGCTAGTGATTGCAGGTCCTCAGAGGACAGTCTTGGTTTCCTTGGACAGGAGCATAAAGCCGGAGTCACCAAACAGTGCTCCTCTCACTGAGCTTACACCGCTCACCTTCACATTAGAAAACACCCATCGCCACCGAACCGAGTGGTCCCCAGCCCATCACTCCCAGAGCGCCAGCAAACTTCGACTTTACAACTTAAGTGTCCTTGAACGGTGTCCCTACATGGAATGTGCTGTCCCCTTCATCTTCCTCTATCAGAGTCCTCCCATCCTTTCACACCCTGCTCAGAATGCTTTTGGGAGATTCTACCCCTTTGGCCCTGCTGGAATTAATACATTGTTTGTTATTTATTTATTTATTTACTTTGAGACAGAGTCTCTGTTGCCGGGGCTAGAGTGCCGGGGCGTCAGCCTAGCTCACAGCAACCTCAAGCACCTGGGCTCAAACGATCCTCCTGCCTCAGCCTCCCGAGTAGCTGGGACTACAGGCATGCACCACCATGCCTGGCTAATTTTCTTCCATATGTTTTTAGTTGGCCAATTAGTTTCTTTCTAATTTTTTAGCAGAGACAGAGTCTCGCTCTTGCTCAGGCTGGTTTTGGCTCCTGACCTTGAGCGATTTGCCTGCCTCGGCCTCCCAAAGTGCTAGGATTACAGGCATGAGCCACCATGCCGCGCCCAGCCTGGAATTAATGTATTATTAATAGTACCACTTTTAATAGTACCACTTTTCTACTCTGTCATAGAGTCGGTTCTTACATGGCTTTCTTCTTCTGATAGACCAAACTCTTCAAGAATAAGTACTTATTGCCGGGCGTGGTGGCTCACGCCTGTAATCCTAGCACTTTGGGAGGCCAAGGCGGGTGGATTGCTCAAAGTCAGGAGTTTGAAACCAGCCTGAGCGAGACCCCGTCTCTACCAAAACATAGAAATAAATTAATTGACCAACTAAAAATATATATACAAAAAATTAGCCGGGCATGGTGGCCCATGCCTGTAGTCCCAGCTACTCGGGAGGCTGAGGCAGTAGGATCGCTGAGCCCTGGAGTTTGAGGTTGCTGTGAGCTAGGCTGACGCCATGGCACTCACTCCAGCCTGGGCAACAAAGTGAGACTCTGTCTCAAAAAAAAAGAATAAGTACTTACGTCTTATCCATCTCTTTCCCCCCACATTACTCTGAAAGTTACTCAACAAATGTTAGTGGAACTGAATTATTTCCATGTGCAGCAGGTGTATGTACACTTTCATTCCATTAGTATACACTGGGACACCAGATCTTTTAAACAGTTGTAATATACTCCTTGAGAGCAGTTAACAGTTCCTGGAAACTCTTTGAAATGTTTAGAAAAGGACTTATCACAATTTCCATCCCCCAATAAAAATTGTCCGCTAGTTTACCTTCCCTATCACTTACTTAAATAAACATCATGCCCTAAAAAGAATAATCAGCAATGGCTTTATTCTAACAGCTGCTACTCTGTCGGGCATACCACTCTGATAAGGTTATCTACAAATAAAAAGGAACACAATTGACAATAATACATGCAACTGGGGAGCTTGAATAGTTAAAGCCGAGTTTATTAAAATGACATTACCTTACAGATCAAAGAAACTTTTATCATGCTGAATACTTGAGAAGGAACCAGTGGGGAAGTCTGATGACTCAGGACTGGCCTCAGGGGACAGGCTGGGGTTGTTGCAAATTGTGGAATTTCCTCTGACATAATGAAAAGATGAGGGTGCACTTGTTCTCTGGGTTGTGATACTATAAAAAGCCACCGGAGCGCTCCTTTCAGCAGAAACCCTCAGAGACAGCAGAGCTTCTAGGACGGAAGCCAGCGAGAACCACAGCAAGAACCGTCTCCCTTGGTGTAAACATGACTTCCAAGCTGGCCGTGGCTCTTTTGGCAGCCTTCCTGCTCTCGGCAGCGCTGTGTGAAGGTAAGAGCATCTCTCCTGCGTGCAGAGTCCCTGTGTCTAACTGTGCTCCCCAGATGGCAAGCCTGTCCTGAATGCTGTGATAACAAACATCCTTTTTATTCAGAACAGAAAATAATCTTTGCAGTCAATTAATGTTAAACTGAAGGGTTTTTTTTAAAGGCTGTATTTCTACAAAACTTAGGAAAGTATAAAGCTGGATCAATATAGACATTCTATGCTTGTAAGTCAGACTGTGTAGTATGCATATATTTACTATTAGTCAGTAATGTACAGTATATCCTATTGAAGGCTACAGTTACCCATATTATCTACTAATACCGAGTAAGGTAACTCAGATAATTCTACTCCATCTAGTGTTTTAGTGACAAGCCTCAGACTGTAAATTCCTGTTGGGTTTAAAGACACCCTCATCACAGACCATTTCAGATCTGCACAACTCATTTATATATTTCTATTAATTCTTTCTGAAGGCAACTTTTACATTGGAGAATCTTAGTTCCTGCCTAGTTTTACCAGCACCGTGGTATCCCAGAGGAATATTCGATGTCAGGGGGAAGAAAAAAGTACCATGAGGATGTCAATATTGCACAAAGACAGCTCCAATCCTTTATGGAGAAAGTTATTCAAGAATGTTTGTAATAACTGTTTTGAAAACAAAGAACAAAATTGAGGTCAAGGGCTAGGAGACTATGTGGCCCTCAATGTTAGGAATGGCTTTGCTAGAAATGTCATGCTTCCCCAAGTAATCGTATTGAAATTAAAGAGGCGTGGCGAGCAGAGCTGTGTCTGTTGATAAAAATCAATCCTTAGTTATTTCTATTTTTTCCGCAGCTGCTGCTCTGTCCAGGATGGGCACAGAACTTCGATGCCAGTGCATAAAGACACACTCCACGCCTTTCCACCCCAAATTTATCAAGGAGCTGAGAGTGATTGAGAGTGGACCACACTGTGAAAATTCAGAAATCATGTAAGTACTTTCAAAGTGCATTATGCATTTTTTGCTTTAGCAATCCTATCACTGAGGAAGGTGGAAGTAATCAGGAAAGTCCTAGCTGCTGGAAATACAGTAGTGAGCAAAACAAAGGAAAGATCGTTGTCTACATGGCATTTGCATATGGTACTCTCCATGCCAAGTAGTTGAAGGTTGCTTTGGACTTAGATTTTATGACCATATTTAAGAAACCATGATTTGAATGGGGCTATAAATATTGATTTTAATTATTTCTCTCATTTCAGTGTAAAGCTTGTTGATGGAAGAGAGCTCTGCCTGGACCCCCAGGAAAAGTGGGTGCAGAAGGTTGTACAGATATTTTTGAAGAGGTAAGTTGTTTTTTATTAATTTAAATTCTTCATCTATCTTGAGACCTATAGTCCAAAAGTCAGCCTATAAATTCCTACTTCTGCAAATCTCTTTTAGGTCTCTTTGAGTAAAAAACAAAAATAGCAATAGTAGAGTTTATTGTACTTATGACTGGAAGACCATGCATCTCAGTCTCTCCAGGGCAGTCTGGGTTTATACCTGTGTCCTGTATCATCTGGAAAGTTCCTTTTCCCCCTCGCAAGTGTCCTGTTTTAGATGATAACTTATCTAGCCTCCCTGTTTATACTTGAAAATATAGAGCATTTCTAACACATGAATACCTAAGACTGTTTTAAGTTTTCAAGAAAATATAGTTTCAGACCCCTACTTTCCTCCTTATTAGATCATTGTTAATCTTTAAATTTTTCATTTCATTTATTGTTAGGGCTGAAAAGCAAGAATCATGAAAAAAAAACCCATGCATTCTCCATACTCTCCAAGAATTCCTCAGTAACGATGCCAATGAAACTTCAAACAAATCTACTTCAGCACTTCATGTATTGTGTGGGTCTATTACAGGATTGCCAGATAAAATACAAGGTGCCTGGTTAAATTTGAATTACAGTAAAACAACAAATAGTTTCTCCATTGTACCATGCAGTATCTTGGACAAACTTAAATTTAAAAAAAATTATTTGTTTCAGTGTACACCAAACAAAAAAATTTTTTTAAATAGAAGAATTTATTTGTACAAAGAACAAAATTGAAGTCAAAAGCTAGGCGAGTATCTGCCCTCCAATTTCAAGAACGGAATGCGTTTGCTAGAACTGTGGTGCTTCGAGCATCACCCGGAAATATGGATGTCACATGGACTATGAATTTTCCTGTGCATTCAAATTTGGCTGGAAACCTTGCATTTTTTATTTGTCCAAGATCCATGATTCCCTGTTCAACTGTGCCTTGGTTTCTCCTTTATTTCTAAATGGGAAAAGTATCAGCCACCATCCTACCTCACAGGGATGTTGTGAGGACATATGGAAGCACTTTAAGTTTTCTCTGTGGTCCTGTACATGATTTTTAAGTTTAACTTATTCACCTATTTATTATTTATATATTTATTTAAGAATCAAAGGTAGTAATATTTGTGCATGAATTTGGAAAAATGAGAAAGGAAGAAACATTGTTGATGGCATAGCTATAATGATATAGTGAATTTATATTTATGTTATATATTAAGTGATGTTACATTAGAGAATTTTTAAACGAGGTTTTTCAGATTAAGGAAAAAAAGGAAAAGGACATTCAGTTAAATTTTTATTTCAAATAACAATTAGTGATTTTTTAGAGTACACACATCATTATTTATCAGAAATTCTAATTAAAATGACAATCCTACTTTTGATACGCCTGGTCTTTTCTTGTCATTGCCAGCCTTGTTCTGCAGTGCTGTGCTGAATTACACAATCCTGAGTGACTGTCTCAAAACAGCAAAAATTCACCAAGTGATATTAGCAAAGTAATTTCTTGGTGGCTGAAACTTATTTATTATCTACAAATAGATAAATTCTCATAATCTCAGATACATTCTCACATTCAAATGATTGTGTTTTTCAACACCAGGCTTTATTTTTCTTTTTTTAACTTTAAGAGGCTTTTATGTGTTCCCAAAGATTTTTGCTTACTATTTTTGACAGTATGGAAATATAAACATAGCTAAAAAACATTTGAAATATAATTTATTATCAAAGTCATCAGGTGTTTGTCTTTCATTTATAGTTTTAATTTGTTGGGAATCTCTTTGTTTATATTAAAAATCATACTTTAATTTAGGAAACATAAATGATTTCCTTTAGCATTTTGTATATTATATTGAAAATTATGAACCTTTATGTAGAAAAGCAGAACTGGTTTCCAGAGATGGGTTACAAACAGTAGTCTCTTTCATAGAATGTCAGAAACTTTTTCTACTCTCTGCTGTATATCATTTTACTAATAAAGCTGACTTTAAATTTTCAATCAACCAGTCCATGTGTCTGTATATCTTAGCACGGTTGGGCATTTGGTTAAAGAGGGAAGAGAGTCCACATTATAAGGTGCTTATCAATAATTAAAGAGCAAAACTGACACACATGAGGCAAAGAAGTTTAAATTATGATTAAAGACCACGCATATTTGAAAATAAACAATACTCTGAAAAGTAAAAATATAATTATTTATCTAAAAAACTCAGTGGATGAGTTTTATAACAAATTAGACACAGCTGAAAAAATTGGAGAACTATTTGGAAATAGAACCAAAGAACTTTATCTAGAATTCACATCAGAGAGATAGTAAGTTGGAAAAAGAAGTTAAAAGACATAAAAGATGCAGGGATAAGTTTTTATAGATGTCTAATTGGATTTTTACTAGCAGGAGAGAGAGGAAAGAATCAGAGACAAATTCCTTTTTTTTTTTGAGACACGGTCTCACTCTGTCCTCCACGGCTAGAGTGCCGTGGCATCAGCCTAGCTCACAGCAACCTCAAACTCCTGGGCTCAAGTATCCTCCTGCCTCAGCCTCCTGAGTAGCTGGGACTACGGGCATGCACCACCATGCCTGGCTAATTTTTTCTATTTTTAATACAGACGGGGTCTTTCTCTTGCCCAGGCCGGTCTTGAACTCCTGAGCTCAAGCGATCCTCCCGCCTCATCCTCCCAGAGTGCTAGGAGACAGCATTTGAAGTGATAATAACCAAAAACGTTTCAGAAATGATGAGTAACAACAACCTACAGTCTCAAGAAATCCAATTTACCAATGATTAACTTTATATTTGAATATGTCACTCACATAGCCAAGGGGACTTTGCAGATGTCATTATGTTAAGGATTTTGAGATTGGACATTATCCTGGATTATCTGTATGAGCCTGATGTATCATAAGGTTCTTTATAAGAGGCAGACGGGTGGTCAGAGACAAAGGAGATGTGGTCATAAGAGGAAAGGTTGACATGATACAAGGAGAAGCCCACGAGCCAGGGAGAACCGGGGCCTCCAGAAGCTAGAAAGGTAGAAGGGAACAACCTCTCTTCTACAGCCCCCAGGAGGAACAGAGCATGCTTATTATACCTTGAATTTAGGACTTCTGTCCTCCAGAACAGTAAGAAAATAAATTGGTGCTGCTTCAAGCCACAAATGTATTGTGATTTGCTTTAGGAGGAATAGGAAATTAATACAGGTTTCCATGAAACTAATTCAATACTTATAATTAGTATTTTATGTGTTTAACATTAAAAGCTTATATTAAAAAAGAAAAAAAATGGCAAAACAATGGAAATAGAAACGTAATAAAGAAGGGAGCAAACCATTAATAAATTAATAGATAGGATTTACATGAGTTTGTTGTTTGAAAGATTAAGACAATTGATTAAAAAATTCAGAAATTGAAAATATAAGGAATTATGATTGATTTAGTGACATTAAATTACAAGGCTTTGATTAGATAAATTCTTACAATGCTACCTTTCCAAATCTAACTCAAGAATTTTTTTAAAATCCTGTAGCAATCAAAGATATATTAATCAATATTTTTAAATATTTCCATTAAAAAATAACAAAAAAGGAAAAGGAAGTAAGCCAGACAATTTTACCATAACTAATTCATAATAACACATTTTACAAATCCTTTTATAAACACTTTAAGATGGAAACAACAATGTCTAAAAATTATTATGCACATAACCAAGATATACAAAGCTACTTTTTATATTTGAAGATCTAATAATGAAATTCAGTACATTAATATAGTAAAGGAGAAAAAAACCTTAATGATCATCTCAATAGAGTCAGAAACAACCTGAGATATGATTTAACATTCAACCATGTTAAGAAAAAGAAAACCTCTAGGAATGAGAAGGAACTACTTTAAACCTGTAAAGGTTATCAACAAAACGAAAATGACAGCAGAATATATTAATAGTGCAATTTTTAAAATCATAACAGGTAAGGTTGGGATAAAACAAGGTGTCCATTATCACCATTTCTATTCAACTTTTTATTGAAAGTCTTGGGTAATACAGGGAAACAGGAACAAAGATATAAACAAATAACAATTGGGAAGAAAAAAACAAAAGAGAAGTCATTCAATAAATTATACGATTGTCAAGGTAGAACCCAAAAGAACATACAAAAATAATTGATTGCATTTAAAGACGTTAGATAGGGCCAGGTGCAGTGGCGCATCAGCACTTCAGAAGGCTGAAGTGGGACATTCGGTAAGAACTATAGAAACTGAGTAAAGTATAGACTTTAATAATATATCAAGGTTGATTCATTCATTATAAAAATTTATCCTACTAATGTAATATAATAACTGTAGAAACTGGGTGTGGGATATATGGAAAATCTGTAATATCTCCTTAATTTTTCTATAAATCTAAAACTGTTCTTTAAAAAAGTCTTTAAAAATAAGTAGGGGTACAACAGTCAAAAATATCTACAAGTGGCAATTTGCAATTTTCTGTCATTGCAATGAAGCTGGTACACGGGCTGTGATGATGGGGGTGAGGCATGTCCCTCAGGCAGTGACAGAGCCAAGTTTATCAAGCACGTCTGCACAGTTCTGTCTTCCCGTCCTTGAGGACTGCTACTAGATAAAGCATGCTGGACTTTGACAACATGCCAGAACTCTAGATCTATTTGTCAAAAAACTTCAATGGTTGGCCGGGCGCTGTGGCTCACGCCTGTAATCCTAGCTCTTGGGAGGCCGAGGCGGGCGGATTGCTCAAGGTCAGGAGTTCAAAACCAGCCTGAGCAAGGAGACACAGTCTCCACTCTGTTGCCAGGGCTAGAGTGCCATGGCCTCAGCCTAGCTCACAGCAACCTCAAACTCCTCCTGCCTCAGCCTCCTGAGTAGCTGGGACTACAGGCATGTGCCGCTATGCCCAGCTAATTTTTTCTCTATAGTTTTAGTTGTCCAGCTAATTTCTTTCTATTTTTTTAGTAGAGATGGGGTCTTGCTCTTGCTCAGGCTGGTCTCAAACTCCTGAACTCAAGCGATCCTCCTGCTTCGGCCTCCCAGAGTGCTAGGATTACAGGCATGAGCCACCACGGCTGGCCAGGAACTAGTTTTTAATCAATCAGTTCTGCGGTCCAAACTAGCAACCAACAGAGTTTGGCTTGGCAAGTTCTGTGTTTTAAGATAATTTGAGTTACTGTGACTCAAGGCAGACTGTGTAGCGGCGTCTCCTTCCAGCAGTCTCTGCCACCTCCTGCCGGGGTCCTTCCCTGCTGCATACATGTTTTTTAACATGCTTTGTCCCCTGAATATGATTATCATTATCATTATTATGGTAATGATAATGACCATTGAAGGTTTTTGACAAGTAGATCTAGAGTTCTGGCATGTGTCAAAGCCCAGCATGCTTTATCTAGTAGCGTCCCCAAGGACAGGAAGACAGAGCTGTGCAGACCGCTGTGATAAACTTGGCTCTGTCACTGCCTGAGGGACGTGCCCCGCCGCCCATCGCACAGCCGTGTGCAGCTTCATTGCAAGACAGAAAGTGCAAATTGCCACTTGTTGTAGATTTGTTGACTGTTTACTCCCTATATTTTTAAAGCTTTTTAAGAACAGTTTTAGATTTATAGGTAAATAAGGAGATATTACAGATTTTCCATATATCCCACACCCAGTTTCTACCGTTATTATATTACATTAGTAGGATACATTTTATAATCAACCTTATATATTATTAAAAGTCTATACTTTACTCAGTTCTATAGTTCTTACCGAATGTCCACTTCAGCCTTCTGAAGTGCTGATGCGCCACTGCACCTGGCCCTATCTAAGTCTTTAAATGCAATCAATTATTTTTGTATGTTCTTTTGGGTTCTTACCTTGACAATCGTATAATTTATTGAATGACTTCTCTTTTGTTTTTTTTCTTCCCAATTGTTACTTGTTTTATATCTTTGTCTGTTTCCCTGTATTACCAAGACTTTCAATAAAAGTTGAATAGAAATGGTGATAATGGACACCTTGTTTTATCCCAACTTACCTGTTATGAGTTTAAAAATTGCACTATTAATATATTCTGCTGTCATTTTGTTTTGTGATAACCTTTACAGGTTTAAAGTAGTTCCTTCTCATTCCTAGAGGTTTCTTTTTCTTACATGGTTGAATGTTAAATCATATCTCAGTTGTTTCTGACTCTATTGACATGATCATTAAGGTTTTTTCTCCCTTTACTCTCTAATGTACTGAATTTCATTATTAGATCTTCAAATATAAAAAGTAGCTTTGCATATCTTATTATGTGCGATAATAATTTTTAGACATTGTTGTTTCCATCTTAAAGTGTTTTAAAAGGATTTGTAAATGTGTTATTATGAATTAGTTATGGTAAAATTGTCTGGCTTACTTCCTTTTCTTTTGTTATTTTTTAATGGAAATATTTAAAAATATTGATTAATATATCTTTGATTGCTACAGGTTTTAAAAAAATTCTTGAGTTAGATTTGGAAAGGTAGTATTGTAAGAATTTATCTAATCAAAGCCTTGTAATTAATGTCACTAAATCAATCATAATCCTTATATTTTCAATTTCTGAATTTTTTAATCAATTTCTTAATCTTTCAAACAAAACTCATGTAAATCCTATCTATTAATTTATTAATGGTTTGCTCCCTTCTTTATTACTTTCTATTTCCATTGTTTGCATCTTTTCTTCTTTTCTATATAAGCTTTTAAGTTAAACATATAAAATACTAATTATAAGTATTGAATTAGTTTCATGGAAACTTGTATTAATTTCCTATT